CGATGCGTGCGCGGAACATCGGCCTGCGTGCTCCACATCAAGCGTGCTCGCTTCTCGAACCATCGCCCGCGTCTGCCAGGAAGCCGGGCAGCCGCATGGGCAGCCGCTGCGGCCCGCAGGGCAAGCTCGTGGGCGCATCGCCGTGCTGCGTTTGGACGTCTCTGGGGCGAGTCATGGCGAGTCGCTTAAATTCATTTAATGTTTGCCAGCCCTAGGCCACCAGAAGCAGCGGGGAGGAAGGCCACCTGGCGAGCCGCATCCCAATCCCGTTCTCATCTGGCTCCCGGAGCGTGGTCCTTGTCATACCTGGCCGACTCTTTTGCTCGCTCCTTTGCCTGGGCACGTGCTGCGAATGTGCTATCCGCAGCTCTGCCCAAGCCGTCTGGGTTCTGCGCTGGAGTGGCTTCGTTTCCGTTGCGACGCAGCGTGCGTTTTTGCCACTGTTTTACAACTCCCCCTCCAACCTGAGTTAGGTGCTGCTGGCCTGCCCCCGACGCTGCACGAGCTCCTTGCGGATGCTGGCTGGCAAGAGGCTCCACGAGGATTTCTCGTTTTTTTCACGGTCTTGTTTTTTACGCGGACTTGTTTGCAACTCTAAATCCAAAAGGGTCTTTGTCTCGGTATCAGCTGCGGCTTAGTGTACGGCATTCAGCACGGGCAAGGAGACAGCGGGGTTGAGCAACCTGCGCACTACACTGTGCTGCTGGTACGTGGTAATACATGCCGTAACGATTGCTAGCGCGCCAGCGGCTAAACCGACCTCGGTGCCAAGGCCGACTTGTCCGCCAACCCATTCGCCATAAACTACCCATGCGCCGGTTTCCTGGCAGGTCAAAGCTTGGGCAGTTGCGGCATGGAGCTCGAAGTTGTGGACGAGCCTACGGGCACCTCCGCTCCCGCGCCCTCCCACTGCGGATCCCAGTGCAACGAGTCGCTGGGGGCCGGCCGCAGCGAGCTCCGGGTATGCGGCGAGTTTTCGCCGTTCAGTCATTGGATGCTGACGGTCCACTGCCTGGTCCAGGCGAAGCCCGGTTGTTGGTCGGCTGGGCAAGCACGGGCAAGCCATCCCCGCTTTGCGCCATGGCCTTGGCTTGCACAGCAAGCGAAAATGTCCGTGACAGCAATCTAGGTGAGGTGACTGAGAAAGACTCACATCACCGAACGGAGGACGGTATTGGAGGTGGGAGGGCCAAGCTGCGGCAACCGGCAACAACCCCGACCATCGTCCTAAGGGCAGCCACTGCTGCTGCACATTGCAACGGAACGGCAAGACGGGCCCGTGCTCGGGGCAAGGACGAGTCTGTTAATGACCATGTGTCATGGTCAAGGCATGTCAAGGCCAACAAGCGGGCGAAGTTGGCAGCTTCAGCACTCCAGCCTCCGTCAACCTCGGTGCCAACGACACGCGAATTCAAGGTAAGTAGGTTCTCTAGGCTCGCGGGCATCTGCAAGGCTGCGCCGGCGGTGGTGCTACTGCGGCGGCGGTAGGCAAGTCACGGCCAGCCATGCAAGCAGAGCCGCCCCATCTTCTGTCGGGCCACCTGCCACCCGCGCTGAGTGCAGTAGACTCTGAGCGCAGCTCCGTGCATGCCGGGTGGGCAGATGCATGCAGGCACAGGAGACAGGTTGAGAGGCCTTCTGCCAGCGAGCATCTTTAGGATTCTTTCTGTGAGGTGCTCGGGGTAGAACGGTATCCGCTGTCATCCGCGGTCAAATGTTTGGTTTCGCTACCTCCACGTCTGCAGCATGTGAATGCCTGGTCAAGCAGTAGCATGTCCTGGCTTGCAAGCGCAATGGCGACACCGTAACTGCATCGGCTGAAGTAGAAAGCTCACCGAGGTGGGCGAAGTCTGCCGCACGCCGATCTCAGCGGCGGGCGTCGGCTTGCTCGTCCACACCCTTGCCTCTCTAGCGCCTGGCACAGCCGAGGCGAGCGTTGCCGCTGTTGCTGCTGTTGCTCGTCTTGCCGCTGCAGCGGTCCCCCTTCAAGATGCGAAGCCCATGCTGTTTGCGTCGAGCACCGTCAGTGCGAAGATGGCTAAAAAGAAGAACGGTCCGGGTCCCGATGCCCGATGAGCAAACAGGCACAGCGGTCAAGCCAGCAGCCGTGAAGGAGGCTAAAATGAAACGGCGCCTTGCTACCTAGGAATTTTGGAGGTCTTGTGCGTATCATATTAAAACCAGATCACGTCTACGATTCGAAGGTGTCACTGAGCCAAAAATTTTGCCAACAGAACCGTCTTCGCCGCTGGTCAAGAAGCCGTGCAAAAAGTGGATGGAGGCCATCGGTCAAGAAACTAGCAAAGGTGCCCTCGCGCCGCACTGGACCACCGTGGCGAAAACGCCCCACCAGCCCCTTGCTCAGGCAGCCGCGTGCCGGCCGGCAGCGGCTCGGCGCATGGCAACAGACGGAAAAAAAGGCGTCGCCCCGTGGACCATGGGGTCGAACCGCCGTCGGTCCTCCCAGGCGATACCCGGTGCATTGTTGTTAAACTTTAGTCTTATAGAAATATCGTTGGGACAGTACTTGCTTAATTATCAGACCAAGGCCAACGGCCCTGCAGGTGACAGTTCTACCAAGCCCGCTCGGCGATCTCCGCAAGTCAAACAAGCCGCCCCAGTCCATGGGAAGGCAAGTGTGTGGTCGCCACCCGGCGTTGCTTGATCCCTGCACCGGCACAGAGCCAATGGAAGTGGCAACTGCGTCTGCCGACGGAGCATTGTCGGCTCGGGTTGCGGTCAGGCCCGCCACGCACCAGTCTGCGAGCGTAGCACACGGCCAGCAGGAGGGAGGCGGCACCACGCGGTCACAAAAGCAACGGTTCCGGGTTTTGTGACACGCGGGACTGCCAGCCGTGTCCCGAACTCGCCGAGCTCCAACCAACAGCAGCTGCTTGTGCGGGCGGTAGAAGCAAGCGCCCCGCTTGCAGTCAAGCAGGGCCCCTACAAGTATCGGTTGTGCCGCATGGTCGTGCACCGCTACGAACGCATCATGCGGCCCAGTGAGCGATGGAGGCAGTGCGAACAGCTTGGGCGGCGATGTCTCGCGTGAATGACGGAGCCTTCAGGCTTCTACCCCAGAGGTGCTTGCAACTTGCCCCACGCAGGAATATTCGAAGCGGGTGGTCGGGGCTGTCCGGAGTGTGTTGTCCAGTGCTGTTTGGGGCGAATGGTCCGATCATGCCCGATGGGTGCCGACTGCCCAAAAAGCGAAAAGCCGTCTTTAAGAGTGGCAGTGGAACGACTGTCAAAAAGCTGCTTGCATGGCTTACCAAACTGGGAAGCTATGAGCAAGTTCCAATAACGAAGGTTACATAACATTCAACTTGTGATTTTAAACCTTACACGGACAAGGCAAACCCAAACACAAGGAGGCTGGCAAAGAAGGTCGCGCAACAACTGCAAGACTCCGAGATTGATACTGCAACTTCTGATCCTAAGGAAAGCGCTTGAAGCTAGACTGATTAACATCTACGAGTTTCAAGTTTCAACGACGTCCAATCTCTCAAGGTCCAACGTCTCTGCATTAGCAGCTCGTCACTGGCTGACTCGTCATTGAAATTCCTCCTCGTGCTGGGGTCGATGCAGTTTGGGATCCAACGCGAACGCTGGCCGCGGGATGTCGCATCGCTGGTGGGCTGGTGGATGCGGAACAGTCGCAGCAACTCGGCCTCTTCAGCCGTCGTACATCAACGAACGCACGAAGAGTAACTGAAGAGCTTTTTAGTCCGAGGGAAGGCTACTGGCGACATCTGGCGACATTGTCTGCTTACCGGTCTCATGGACATCCATGTTCGGTGAGGCCATGTGGCCCTGCCAACGTGCGAGGCATTCTGCGATATGACAAGCATCTGCCACATTCGTTCACGTTCGTATCGGCGAGCTGCAGCAGCAGCACCACCACCACCACCTCCTGCTGCCTTGTACTGCGGTCTCGAACACAAGCACCGGGGAGCAATGCCTGTGACGCAGCATGTAGTCAGGCAGCGCAACTCTGGCAATTTATGCAGCTGCGTGGTCAACTACATCTGACACAGGTAGAAGAGATCTGTCTGCCCCGACATGTGCAAAAGTTTCAGTGCAGCTCATGTTCTTACTGGTGAAATCCGAATCCCAGATGAGGACCACACTAGCTTTTTGTGCTCCTTTTCCCACGCATCCGCCGAAGATCGCTAAATCTTGTCTTGCGGTCAGAGCTACCAGACGCCTGAGCGCTTGCAACAGACCTTTGCTGTCCAGGACCTTTGCCCTCGCTTCCGGCCGTCGAGATGGTTCCTGCAGCCCGTGACTCCACGTCTTTACACCCCCTTTTGACCCCTCGAGTGACAACATGTCGCATCTGCTACACCAAACAATGGATGCGCACCCAGAAGAGCTTCAGGGCAGGATGAGACTCAGCATCATGAAGCACATGGCAGAAAGACACAAACGGTCAGAACAGCAGCGAAGAGGCAGACTGATCTGGTATTGATGTTCGTTGATGCTGTCGTGAATAGCCATGTGCGACACACTTCCCTGTCATGTGCGTAACATACATGCAACGAATTCAAGTGATTACTCCATGTCGAAAAAATTGAACTTCGCGCAGAAGAGAGTGCTGTGAACTGAATGATATCAAGAGAAGATAATATTACACGATAAAGATAGCTTTAACTCGGCCGTGCCTTCATTGTGTTGTACAAGTAGGACAAGACGACAGGGGCAGCAGATGGTTTTGGCTAACATGAAAAAGATACCTGTACCGAAACTCTCTGTTTGAGCCCTTCAACCTGAAACATCAGAAAGATAGCCGCAAAGTCTCCATCCAAGCCATTCCGATTCAAGCATCAGGAAATTCGGTTGAGGCCTGTGGCACGACTCGTCGTCCTTGCAGCTTCGCGACCGGCACACTGTAGGACGCCTGCAACTGTTGCGCAGCGTTGGTAGAAAGAGAAAGCTCCTGACGCCCGCTGATGGGCCTCCACATGATGGGCCTCACCTCTTCGTCGTACAGTCGCCCATTAGTCCACGATGCCGAAGGTGACTGGGATCCTGAAACTGGGACCGACTCCATCTCTCACAGCATCGGCATATCGTACGGCCTTCAAGACATGCCGGTGTCAGGTCCTGCGGGCAGACAAGTGCGTAAAGGGCTTGGAGGGCTGCGAGCCGCTGTCTTCGACCAGCTCCTTAGACAGAGTCTTCGAAAGCGTGGGCCATGCGTCCAATCGGGATCACATCCTTAACTGTGCTAAACCAAGCAGAAATTATACTTGCACAGGCCACATTCTGTTGCTGGCTAATGTTGGCTCGTTGGCCTTGCGGAACTACACTTCCGATATCCGATAGCCATATCGTCAACTGCAACTCGGCACGATTTTTCACCACCAACACCATGCTGATTAACGACGGCTCGAGAAAAGGTGAATTTTCAGGTTTTGCTGTCGCAGAAATGGCAGAGCGTCGAAGTGCAACGGCTCACCACTTCGCACAGGCTCCGCACGCAGCTTGGGATGTGCTGCCTCGCATCGCGACAGCGAACGTGCTGTGGCTCAATATTCTGTTCGTTCTCCTGCCTCCCTACCGGCAAGTGGCATATTCTGCTCTGCAGACGCACCCTGTGGTGGTGTTGGCGGACATTTGCAATGGCGAAGCCCCGAGGCACCTCTGCCGTTACGGCGAAGGCTGCTGCAGGATGCTGGCCTGAACAAGACATCGGATCCTAATGGGGAAGGAGTTTCTTTGCTCGAGCTTTAAGCGCCAGGACTGGTCTACAATCAGGCTTACTTCACCAGCTCAGCCCGGCTGCCTGTCAGCGCCTTTGCCACAGCATTGCGGATTGCGACGTCCTTTCGATGTTGCTCAGCTTTGCTTCGCACTTCACACTTCGGCATTGCTGCATATGTCTAGCATTCGGGGCCAAGCGGGGCCCTGGCACCCTCGCAAAGCTCTCAGCACAACGGTGCCAGAACACGCACTCAGCCTTCCAAGACTCTACACTCTAAACTCAACTCCACCTTTTTGCAATCAGGCAGCTTGAAGCGTGTCCCGCTCCCGCTCCACGTCCTGGTCATGACATGGGTTGTTTGCTCTCTGACTACTGCAAAATACACAGGCAGCTCTACATCCACGGAAAGCGCCGCAAGCACCCCATGCTTCAACAAGCCAGCACGAACCCGAAATTGCAAATTCGAGAAGAGCTGTAGGCTCTGAAGGCATCTCTCCTCCTCCCGTCGCCATCGGAAGCGGCGACTGAGGATTGACAGCTTCGCAGGGGAGAACGTCGCCTGAATGGGCTGTTCCACGCTTCAAGCAATCCACGCGTGGCATCTTGCGAGCTCCCGGTGGCCTCCAGCGGAAGCTCCTGCAGAGCGGCCCTGACGGGGGCGCAGCAGAGAGGTTGACCAGTTCAACGAAGCTTTCTCTTGTCTTTTCTGGCTTCGGTCTGCATACACCTAGGCCTTCTACTGCCACCAAACCCCTGCTGCTCAGCTCTTGTCTTCTGTGCTTGAGAAGTAAACCTTCCTGCAGGAAGCTCCGTCAGTAGTCACTAGCAGTCACTAGCTCAGCTCACCGAAACGGATCCCTCTCGTAACAATCCGGCTGCCTTTCGCCTTCGGTCTCTGCGGCTCGCAACAAACATGCGCGTCGGTTGCGCTGGCCGATACACCTGCATCAGTGCATGTCTGCTCATTTCCCGTGAGCTCGAGCGGACATCACTATTGGAGCGGCCTGAGTTTCTGCGGGTTGAAGAGACGCTGGAAGGACTCCTCATTCCGGAGGCTCTCACGACCGCAGATGAACCAGACACTGACCGCCAGCCGGTCCTGCGCACAGGGGCTTTGGCAAGCTGGAGTCTATTGGACTTATCAACTGGAACAAACATGGCACTGTGCACCTTGAAGCTGGAGAGGACCTCATGGGGCACCTCCTGTGTGGACCAAAATACAACCTCAGTGGTTCAGCCGGTTTGAGTTTGTGGGAGCCCTCATGCCTTCTCGACTCCAGTCCTCAGCGACTACCCTGTCAGTTGCAGCCAGTCACCAGGCGGTTCCAGACGGGCTCCACGTCGCACTTCACCTCTCCACGGAACTCCACACATTCACACATGTCTAGCGCCCTGACGGCTCTGCGCAGTGCAAGACGACTCTGAATGCTATTTGCTACACTAACCTCCTCTAGCACTAGTACAGAACTGTCTGACGATGAATGTCACGTCAACACCCATTCGAGTGCAGCATTTAGCCAGTAGCTTACAAACCTTGGACGACGTCTGTCATTCACTAACACACAGACAGAAGGCACCGATGTGCTGCAACAAGCTCCACGAGTTGATGGGGCCTACCTGGCAGCTCTGCATCGTCGGCTCAAATACTCGAAGGCATCCGCCGTGCTCTGGTTTCCTTCACAAGCTCTGCAGGCACCCAAGGAGAGGTGGTGTCGAAGTGTTACCTTCCGCAGTTCGAGCCCGGACGCTACCCTTTCATCCACTGTCGCAGAAGCGCCACACCCCGAAACATAATCGACATCGAGCACTGGCTTCGGAAGCAAGCGTCCAGTCTTCGTTGAGGTAGAGCACAGCTGTAAGCCGCCTTCCTTTGCAAACACTTTGCACTGTGGTAGGACAGGCTACAACGGCGCTCTGTATGCTGGACAAACTCCTACTGCCAATAGGGCATGCAGTTTTGTACTCGGTTGGGTTTCGTCCGGGGGTATACATCGAAAATAGTATTCGGAGATATTCGGAGGTCTTGATTGCCATGAATGGCAGGATTTGGAGATGTCGCATTCGCTGGCCTGAAGATCCTACATCTAACGCAACCTTCGGACAACACGCCGACAAGCAAGTGAAACTCACACTGAGCCAATTTTTAGGATTACCCAGTGGGCAAGATGACAACTGTTACAAGGATATCAGAGCTGCTTCCGAGAGCTTTATAACCGCGTGTTTTTCTATTATGGCTTGATCCTTTGCCATCTTTGCATGTTGTCAGCTAGTGGCGGCTATGTGTTTATAGGTCTGCCTACCGATGTATCCACCTCCAGCACATGAAAAGACCAACAATAACCGACTGCCGGCATCTGCGAGTGCGCCCCTGAGACTCCCACCGTCTGTTCCGAGAGTGTTATCGACATGCTTGATGTAGCGAGAGGAATCACCCGGGTAGATGGCGAACCTTCGGACACACCATGACAGTGTTCAGCATGAAGCAACTATGCGGCACAGAGGGCTGAGGCCAATTTGTGCGAATGTCATCAGTGCTGTTACAGGAAATTAAAGGCAGTCATGGAAGACGTCCCTGTACGGCTACTGCCAGGCTGCTCAATGAGAAGCACTACACAAACCCGCGACACGACAGTGGTACTTGTAATCATGCCCATGACGCGGACCTATGGAGATGTCAATGGTTCTAATCAGTGATGCTCGAATTCAGGTGGAGAATTCTGAAGAAAAAAACATTGAGAATGTAGTCCCCAACAACTCGGCAGTCACTCGAGCCTACAAACCGTAAAGAATTGAAGCCTGAACACACCCCCCCCCGACCCCCCCCCCCGCAACCACACAAGCCCTTTTCTGAGCTGCTGTACATCGCTCCATTGGCCCAGTCGACATGCTGCAGTCGATCGGCGACTGCAGGGCATCCCTGCAGTCCTCCGTATGGGCTTTGATCAATTCTCGTGACAGTGAGTCTATCTTTCACTTTTGGAAAACTAGCAAGTTACCGGCATGATAACCGCTACGACCAAGTATTGTTGATCAGAGCGTGCTGAATGTTGGCTAGAAAGATTTGATTGGTCGTCGTTGTCGTCGTCAGTAGTAGTCGTAGTAGTTAGTAGCAGGTAGTAGGTAGCAAGTAGGTAGTAGGTAGTAGTAATGAGTAGTAGGCATAAGATAATAGTAGGTCGTAGGTAATAGGTGGTAGGTACTAGGTAATAGGCAGTAGTAGGTAGTAGGCGGTAGGTAGTAGGCAGTGCTAGGTAGTCGTAGTGGTAATGGTAGTGG